ATCTGTATATATTTCTTTTTATTTTATTTATTCTTTTTTAACCAGGAAGGTCTCATTGAGATTAAAACCTCATTTTCTGGAGAGTCCTGGCCAAGAGGCAGCAAAAGTTACAGCTACACATTTTTCAGCTCCACAGACATGTAATGTAAAAAATAAAAATATATATTTATTTTATTAGATAAACTCTAATGGTGTAATCCCAGACAATTTAAGTATAACCCTAATTTTTGTTTTTGAATTTTGATTTGTTGTGAAATGTCAAATAAAAGTGGGACTGAGCTGGACTCTGATGCCATTTGTTGTCTTGTCTCCTTTTCAACTCTTCGTGTCACTGAGGGGTGTCTGTCTCTGTAAATTATCTTTTAAACAAAGAAAAGCTAAAATTATAAAGAGCTTTGGCGCATGCTGGCAGGATGAACTTTAATGAATATGGGAGTAAATATGAAGCAGGGGAGGAGACAGCTGGGTCCCATGGAGCCTGCAGATTTTTTTATTTCACGAAGCACATGAGCCAACCAGGAACTTTGTACATGAACCAGACCCTCGAGGGATTCCTTTTCTAAAATATAACTTTAATTTACTGGTTTTCACCAGTATGTAAAAAGATTTAAAGTAATATCGCAAAAAAAAAAAAAAAACGTGACAAACACCTAACCTTTTAGCAACAAGGCAGACCCAAGGGCTAAAACAGGATTAATGTAGAAACTGATCCAGGATTTACCCGGGACAGTTAAACTGGAGCTATTTAAGGACTCAAGTACAAAACCAGAATTAAAACACATTATTTTAGATTTGTGCCAAAGAACTACATGTTTGCCTTCCTTTCAACATTGATTGATTAGCCCTGACGCTAGCAATAAACCTGAAGACAAGTATGGTAATATGCATCAGGTGAGCAGCAGTATGAGTGAGTTGATTTGGTACCTGGTAAAACTTTACTTCTAGCACTCCTGTGGGTTCCTCACACTCCACATCTGACCGGAGTCAACGCAGGGTGAGTAAAAAGTATACATCAGGCTTGCCTGTTTTTTGTGCAGCCTATGGTTGCGACAACCGACGCACAAAATAAATCACGTGAGATTACTAATGACGTTTCTAGCCTATATTTTATGTACTTATTATTTATTGTACTTAATTATATCTTTGTTTTAACTATCATGCCATACGACATGTTTGTTTTTGTAAAAAGAAAAAAAGAAATCAATAACTGTAGAAAAAAATTTGCAAAGCATTTCTACTATGGAGACCCATCCAAGACGGAGTCCGGCCACTACGGCTACAGACATGACTACGGTAGTTCCAATCAGGCTCCAACAAGCAGAGGTGGAAAGAGTACTAAAATTTCCTACTTACGTACGAGTACCAGTACTTTGATAATTTTTTTACTCAAGTACAAGTAAAAGCACTTGCCTAAATTTTTCATCAAGTAAAAGTAAAAAGTATCATAAATAAAATGTACTCAAAGCAAAAGTTACTTAGTTGCATTTTTTTGGCAGCGTAAAGATGGTTACATCAGTGCAAAACCACAACACCAGTTCACAACGCCCTCGTGTGTACACGCACACACACAGACACACACACAGTTTGATGGAAGGATTTCTATCCAATCAGTGAGAACAGGACGTGCACATTGATTGGAGGTTTTTCTAGGATTGTATGTTTCAATTGTTATTAAAATTATTTTTTATGTTGAAAAAAAATGTTAATTTTTATATGCCATCAGCATGTGAGGTATCTCAATGTTCTCATGACAAAACTCTAACATGACACTGTGCTCTAACCTGTCACATAACAAGCTAAATGAAAGTCTAACATTTCAGATGGACCGTATGACAGCTGCTAACGTTGGCCCTGCCCTACTTTACCTCTACATTACAGTTCCTTTATCCATGTCGGTCCTAGAGCTCCTCTCTGACCTTCATGCTTATTTAGAGCAGCTGATTTTTAAAGTTTGCAGAGTTCATCCTTGGTAGTGGGTTCACTCACTCATTTAAAGATATCGGCCAGAGGCAAAATTCATTTGAACAGCATGTGTAAATGTGTATTAAAACCTCAGATGAAAAAGATTTTTTGGATTTTGACGGTTTGAATTGTAAGAAAATCTGATGTTTGTGACTGGCGCAGAAAAACAGAAACTAACTTCCGGTCTAAGCCCTGCTGAAACAGCTGCAGTAAACAACGCCTGACTCCGGTGTTTCTGCGTTAGCGTTATAGCAAAGAACAATGTGTCATCAATCAGATGTAGCTTCTGAAGCCTCTACTAGTCGGTCAGATTTGTTTTTACTCTGGGACACGGCGACGAGAACAGATATTGGATTACCGGAGAAGTTCAACCGAACTCCGACCCCGTCAGCTGGATATCACTACCAGAGGTGCAGACATGTTTTAGATCGTTTGACTCAGAAGACCTGCGACCCGATTTGGACATAGAGGAGGATTCTGTTCATCTTCAGAACCAAAATCGGTACAGTTTGTTTACTTTTCTTAAACATTTCATTTCGGTGCTCCACTGGGAGCTCTAAACTGACTGTCATGGTCTGTATCTGCATCTCCCTCATGTGTCTCCGTGTGCTCCATTTCCCGGCCAAAGTGAATATCTGCGTTTTCTCCGTTTTGGGTGTCTGCGTGTGGACAGACAAAACCGGAGTTTTAAGGTCCGCAACGTCACTTTCCGCGATAAAAAAATGCTGACATCATGTGTGCGACCTGTGTTTACGCTAGCCGACAGCATGGATGCCCTCAGAGCTGCGCTCGCTTTATCAATTGTCCAAGCGCTTTTTGCTTGTTTGTTTTTGCAAGCGGAATTACTGCTCCTTGCGGAAGACCACAGACGAAGGACGAGGTTAAGAACGGGGGAAGAACTGCCGCCTACAGGTCTGGCATGTCCTTAACAACGTATTTATTCGGGTACGGGTGGACAGTTTTTTTTAAACGAGGTGGTGTGGATGCAAATTTTTGGAGGGGGCGGATATTCATTTTAAAAAAAACGGCTACGTGTGGACTAGGCCTTAGTCTCCCCACCATATTTCTATAGGTCTATTATTTCAGTTTTGTGTGTGTGTGTGTCCTTCCCCAGTCAGGTCTGGTGTCCTCCCCTGCTCCTTCCTGCTCCTCCTCCCTGATTAGTTATTGCTTTCACCTGGTTCTCTCCCCACACACCTGCAGCTCATCTGCCTCCCATCATGCCCCACTGTATAAAGCCCTGTCTGTGTCTCATTGTCTTGTCGGCCCATTGTTTTGTGTCAGCGTTGTCTTGTGCTCTATGTGAGCTTTGCACCTTGTCTCCAGGTTTTTGTGCTTTAGGTGAGCTTTGTGCCTCGTATCTTGGTTTGTGCTCTATGTTGAGTTTCGTCCTCCTGGTATTCAGGACTTTGGTTTTTGGCCTCCTGCCATTTAGGATTTTTGGTTTGTCATCCTAATAAAAAGGAATTTACTTTTAAACTGCTCCTGCCTCGTGCCATTAGGTGTTGTCTGCATCTTGGGTCCAACCTCCTCCTAACCTGCAACGTGACACTGACAAGTTTTCTGACAAGTTTTCAGCTGGTCTTAGCTCCATGTGTCCCAATATAGTTCAGTAATCTACAGTTTTACTGCTGTGTGTATTTATTGATATAACTCTGGAAAATATTTAACTGACAATTTACCAGAATAAATCTTCCTGATGCTGGAGTAACTGCTTAGTTCAATTTGTTGTTCGCACTAATCCAGAATGTCATGGAGGTTCTAATGTTGAAATATAGAGATCATCTTTTAGATTATATCTGTGTGTGTGTGTGTGTGTGTGTGTGTGTGTGTGTGTGTGTGTGTGTGTGTGTGTGTGTGGTAGCTATCCCAAAGGACTTGTTCTTTCCTTACCGGAGTGAACACGGTTAGCAGTGTTGCTGCAGTCATGCTAACGGGACTCGTCTAGAGTCCAGAAGTAGCGGCGCGGTTCTAGATGGATTTATAGATGTAGGTTATTATTTTACATCAGACCTGTTATTTAAAAATGCGTGTAGGACACGGGCATATGGCTCAGGCATTTTGCTGGAGCTGTAAATGCAATTTTACGTAATTAGGAGCATGAAAGTAAACAAATAATAGTGATTCACTACACTAGCATCAGCAGCTACCTTGTTTTAGGTGCTGGAGTGACGTATGCGAAACACGGTTCTTCATGTCTGGAGGAGAGGATTTGGATTTTCTGTAATGATTTGTGACAAAAAAACTGAACCCAGTACATGTTTATATAGATGGTAAAGTGTAGTTATTTTGCATTTCTACAAATGTAATGCCGAGCCAATACCTTTAACCCTTCACCACTGAAATCAGTGTGTTCATTCCAATCCTCCTAAATAATCCTCCAATCATCCAGCTGGAATCCTTGAGGGTCCCATAATGTCCATCCTGTCAGAATAGGCCTTTGGAGCCCAGGGTGTTACTAGAACTAATGGTGTCTCCTCACCAGCGAGAACCTCCAAACTGAAGGTTGGTCTCCAAACATGAACTTTAAATTCATGAATTTATCTGCTCTTGTAACACTTTAACATGTTTTAAAAGGCTTGTATCGTGATATGTTACACCTCCCAGACCAAAGATAGGTCCAATATAAGATAAAACATTATCATAAACACTGCAGAGACGTCATTATTTACGAAATATAAGTTATTTTCCTGAGCCATTACTTCAGCCAAGAAATAAGATGCATGGATTTGATGAAATCACGCTGTCTCATACAGTCCTATATGTGTAACACACACACACACACACACACACACACACACACACACACACACACACACACACACACACACACTCTGCAGCATGTTAGAATCTTTTGAATGACTAATTTAACAACACTGAACTGCTTTTATAATACTTTAATCTCTTATTCTGGAGTAAAATAAAGAAACAAGCTAAATCATCACATATCTGTGGCATCAAGGAGCAACTTCTGAGTTCAAACACAGGGATGGAGCACAATGTTTACAAGTGAACAGTATCAGGATGGTTTAACTCACAGAGGCCTGCAGGTCTTCTGTTTGATGAGCAAAGCGCTGATAATCGACTTGTTAAGAGCGCTAAACGTTATTTTGCCGCTTCCGCGCGGAGCGGTAGGGAAACACACATTTCAAACACGGAACCGAGTCTGGTTACCGAACCGAGCAGAATTCTGATGACGTCACACCGGTGCGCGAAGGTGCGGGTTCCAACCAAGAGAGGAGGGAGAGAGGAGGTCAACAGCGAGTGGATCACAGGGACTGAACTGATGTTTTTCAGCAAAACTGCGGTAAAAATGGCTGTTTGTTCTCATTATCTAAAATGTACCCCCCCCCCCCCCCCCCCCACGGTTTAGAGGCGGCGCTCACGCAGGTGTCTCTTCCTGTTGTGAATGCTGCTACACGTTTAAGCCTACAATTTATTTTTACTTAGTAACATATATGATTTAAAATGTAGCGAATTATAATTCTTTTTTAAAAACGTACTCAAGTAAAAGTAAAAGTACAGATTTTAAAAACGACTTAAAAAGTATAAATATACAAAAAAGCTACTCAATTACAGTAACGTGAGTAAATGTAATTCGTTACTTTCCACCTCTGCCAACAAGCGAGAAGGGTCTGGCTGCGCCACAGCGGCCGCAGCCAGATCCTTTTGCAACAAGCAGCGTCAGCGTCAGCCAGCGTCGTTGCGTCTGCGCATGCGTTCTAGAAGCCTACGTCACAAAGCTCGCCTCGTCATAGCTCAGTAGCTGAATTCCACACAGACACGTCAGTAGTCAGTTGCCTGTTGAGCAGAAAGGAGCCATTACTTCGACAAATATCTTCTCTTCTGAGTTTAAAGAACATTTCAAAATAAGTTCAGATATGGAAAAACCTTTGAAAATCCAGGAAGATATCTATCTGTTGAGCAGAATAACTGCATATCACGTCGACAAAGTCCTCAAACATTGCAATTTTGGAAACGTAGTTCAGTGTACCGATACTGAGACTGGGGAGATTTTTGCTGTTAAATGCGTCAGGAAAAAGTTTGCTGAGAAATACAGACAAGAAGCCAACATCTTAGATCATGTTTCACATCTGGATTCAGAAGAAAACCATTTGGTGAAGTTTAGAGAAAGCTTTTTTTATAAAGACTGGTATTTTTTGGTTTTTGAAAAACTGGACATGACGTTACTGGACTACATGAGAATAAGAGACGGTAAACCTTTGAGTTTTAGTGAAATTAGGATTATTGCTTATCAAATGCTTTCAGCCTTGGATTTCCTTAAACAACGTGATGTAACTCATGCTAAAGTTACTCCAGAAAATATTATGTTAGTTGACCAAGAGTTACAACCTTTCAGCGTTAAGTTAATTGGCTTTGGAAGTGCGGCTTCAACATGTTTATTATCAGAAAATGATATTTCACCAGCCTGTGGCTTTAGCCCTCTGGAAGTTTTTTTAGACAGTCCTCAAGATGAAAGCGTTGATGTGTGGGGTCTTGCCTGTACGCTGGCTTTTCTGTACCTGGGTTTTTCACTATACCCAACTTATAATGAGTATTGTTATGTAAAAACCATAGTACAGCTGATGGGTATGCCTGAAGACAGTTTATTAAATGAGGGGTGGAGAACCCAACACTTTTTTAATCCTGGATACTCTTGGACTTTTAAATCATTCGAAGATTATTTTGAAGCAACGGGAAAGACAATTGACACAAATTATGAAGAGGATGAAGATTTAATGTCTCTGGATGATTTGTTGACTCTTGGCCCAAGGGTGAAAAGCGTCATTGAACTAGAAGAGAAAAAGGCCTTTGTAGACCTGTTAAAAGCAATGTTACAACTGAATCCTGCGGATAGGATCCTTCCAGCAGATGCTCTCAAACACAGATTTATTACCATGCAGCACACTGCCGATAGTAAAGATACTTCGTATGCTACTATGGCCCATGAAATATTTTTAAACGAGAATGGAGCTCTGTCCCCAAACTATGTAACAGAGCAGAACTCAAACGGTTCAGAGATGGTAAATCAGGATTTGTCAGATAAACAAGTCGAAATAACTATACCATTTAACAAGGGTGATGTTATTCAAAGCTCGTTAGCTCTTTACCACGTGGAGAAACAACTTGGATCAGGGTGTTTTGGGACAGTTTTAATGTGTAGAGTTGACAGAGAAGATAAACGAGTCGCAGTTAAGATAGTTCTTAACCAGCAAAGTGCACAACATGAACTGGAGGCAATGAAATACCTCATAAAACATGACTCTACTCAGAAGTATATACCTGAGTTAATTGAAGCATTTGAATATAACAATTTGTTTTGTTTTGTGTACGAACTTTTGGATCAAAGTCTGCTTAATCTGATGGAACGAACAGATTGGACACCTTTGAATATGTCTGAAATCAGATACATTGCCAAACAGCTGTTAGAAACTCTTGACTTTCTTCAACAAGTCAATATCACTCACACAGACATCAAACCAGACAACATCATGCTGGTTAATCATGATTCAGAGCCGTTTAGAGTGAAGCTAATCGATTTTGGACTTGCTGTCAAAGCATGCCAGTATTCAGAGGAGGAGCTCATTCCGTCGATATCCTACAAGGCACCTGAGATCTACCTAGGAAACCCATGTAACGAAAGCATCGACACATGGGGGGTCGGATGTGTGCTAGCATTCTTATTTATAGGCAGGAATCTCTGTCCAGAAGATGAGTACGAGGCAATGAGGATTTTTGTAAAGCTCCTCGGTATGCCTGACACCCAATCTCTAACAACAGGTTGGCAAGCCAAACACTTTTTCACACTTGACCAGAGCAAGCCTGAACATTTCTGGAGACTTAAAACGCCTCAGGAATATGAGCAGTTCACAGGAAAAAAGATTATGAAGATTAACCCAGTTTTTGACGAGCTTGACTCTCTAGATGATATGGTGAAAATGCTACCAGAGATGAAAGATCCAGCCAAGATCAAAGATTTTAAAGCCTTTGTTGATTTTCTGAAAAAATTGTTACACGTTAATCCTGCAGAGAGGATCGTTCCAGCAGATGCCCTGGGCCACACCTTTATAACTATGGGTCATTTAGCTGATGCCGGGAACAGTCAGTATGTTACATTAGCTCATGAAATAATGACAGGGAGGAAAGATAAATGCTCAAACAGCTTTGCTCCAACTGGTGAAACACGTTACATCACAAGTCCTTCAAAAGTGATGTCACCTGCTGATAAATCCTGTGAAAATTCAAGCCATCCTCATGAAGAATCTGTAGAGCAACCATCAGAAACCATCTGCCCACAGAAACAATCACAGGAAAATCTTTCAGAGGCAGTCGGCACAGGTGTTGAACTGACTACAAAAATGATCGCTACAGAGAACTCAATTATATACGTCATTGAGCCGCAGTTTGTTGAGGTCAAATCAAAGGGCACGGCTTTAACTGCCGTAAAAACATTCTTAACTAATATGTGGAATCAGTATGGCATATGGTGAATCATGAAACCCTCCCTTACCCCACTCCCATTTTTACAGGATCTGTTTATCAAACTCCCAGTCGGTCGTGGGAGAAGGCTGTTTGTTCTGCTGGAGGTTTCTTCCTGCTAAAGGGGAGATTCCCCCTCCACAGTCGCCTGTTTAGCTGTAAAGTCACTGACAACTCAAAGTGAATTCTGCGGTGAATCGATTATGCAATGGGTTTTATTAGATAGTAAACCTATAATAATAAGTTTGTTTCTTTAGTAAAGTTAGTAAAGTTAGTAAAAGTACTTAGAGTAAGTTCTCCACGTAGAGAGGAGCCAGTGGAGGTGGCCTGGGCATCTGGTGAGGATGTCTCCTGGACGCCTCCCTGGCGAGATTTTTCGGGCATGTCCAACTAGGAGGAGACCCTAGGAAATACCCAGGACACGCTGGAGGGACTCTGTCTCTCGGCTGGCCAGGAAACGCCTTGGGATTCCCCCCAGAAGAGCTGGCCCAAGTAGCTGGGCAGAGGGAAGTCTGGGCATCTTGGCTTAAGCCTGATTTATATTTCTCCATCTGCATCTGTGTGGAGACACACAACGCCATTATGCATCAGAACAAGGGCTCTCCGGCAGGCGCACGAAGGGTGACGGAGACATGAGCAAAATTTTAAACATCGTTCGAAAGTGATGAAGAACGTAAGCTTGTGATTCGTCAGGACGCCGCTTCCTGTATATTCGTCACCAGCACAGCTGTAGCCCCGTTAAAAAGTAAACAGATATTTAGCAGCAGACCCAGAACAGATTGAAGAACGCGTTGTGGAAAAAGTCAGAAAATAATAACATTTACAGGTGCTGGCCAGTAAATTAGAATATCATCAAAAGGTTGAAAATATTTCAGTAATTCCATTCAAAACGTGAAACTTGTACATTATATTCATGCAATGCACACAGACCAATGTATTTCCGATGTTTATTACGTTTAATTTTGATATTTATAGGTGACAACCAATGAAAACATCAAATCTGGTATCTCAGAAAATTAGAATATTCTAAAGGCCAATGAAAAAATGTTTGTTTCTCTAATGTTGGCCAACTGAAAAGAATGAACATGAAAAGAATGTGCATGTATAGCACTCAATACTTAGTCGGGGCTCCTTTTGCCTCAATAACTGCAGTAATGCGGCGTGGCATGGACTCGATCAGTCTGTGGCACTGCTCAGGTGTTATGAGAGCCCAGGTTGCTCTGATAGTCGTCTTCAGCTCCTCTGCATTGTTGGGTCTAGCGTATTGCATCCTCCGCTTCACAATACCCCATAGATTTTCTATGGGGTTAAGGTCAGGCGAGTTTGCTGGCCAATCAAGGACAGGGATACCATGGTCCTTGAACCAGGTGCTGGTGGTTTTGGCACTGTGTGCAGGTGCCAAGTCCTGTTGAAAGGTGAAGTCTGCATCCCCATAAAGTTGGTCAGCAGCAGGAAGCATGAAGTGCTCTAAAACTTCCTGGTAGACGGCTGCATTGACCCTGGACCTCAGGAAACAGAGTGGGCCAACACCGGCAGATGACATGGCACCCCACACCATCACTGACGGTGGAAACTTTACACTGGACCTCATGCAACGTGGATTCTGTGCTTCTCCGCTCTTCCTCCAGACTCTGGGTCCTTGATTTCCAAAGGAAATGCAGAACTTGCTTTCATCAGAAAACATAACTTTGGACCACTCAGCATCAGTCCAGTCCTTTTTGTCCTTGGCCCAGGCGAGACGCTTCTTGCGCTGTTTCTTGTTCAAGAGTGGCTTGACACACGGAATGCGACACCT